AGCCTATGCCACAGGGGCTCAGAGCTGAGTAACAGAGTGCAGTGGATTCTCAGCTTTTCCCATGGGGCTCTGGGGTGAGATGACCCTTCAGAGTTGTCACCAACTGAGGCAAAGGGGCTGGACTCTATACACTCCTGCCATCAGACAGTCGCTGGCTAGGGTCTGCACACAGGAATGGGGCATAGGCTTGCACTAGGCAGCTCCCTTTCTCAGGGAAATACCTGGGCATAATTTTCTAGAACTACCATAGGAAACTGCCACAAACTTCATGACATCCTGGTCCAAAAGATATGTCCACATCCTCAACCCTGGAAACTCTGCCCTGATTTGAAAGAAGAGTCCTATGGATATAATTAGGAATCTTGAGATGAGATTGTCCTGTATTATCTGGGTGGGCACTAAATCCAATAAGAAGTGTCCTTATGAGAGACACATGGAGGAGAAACATGGAGTAAAGAGGCTGTGAAGGCAGAAGCAGAGAGTGGAGTGACAGCCACAAATCAAGATATGCTTGGAGCCACCAGAAGCTGGAAGAGGGAAGGCAGCACCCTCTCCTGAAGCCTGCAGTGGGAGCACTGCCCTGCCACACCTGGATCGTGGACCCCTGCCATCCAGAATGACGAAACAATACATTTCTGTGGTTTATTTTTCTAATGTAAATGTTATAACTTCCCTAGGAAACTAAGTCCTGCAAAGCACTGAGTGCTGAGCCCTGTAGGCCACTCGCCAGAGGCTGGAGCAGGCACTGTGGTTCTGAAAGGAGAGACCTGAGGAGTGACTCTCAGTGTCCTCCAGCCCACAGTTGCAAGTCTTCTTCAACGGGGCTCCTTTATGAAGTAGGCTCTGTCCTTTGGTGAATCCCCGTTCATACGTACCTTTCATTCAACACACGTTTATGCAGCACCTGCTACTGCCAGGGACCAGGGGAAGCTTCAGGCACGCCAGAGAGGACAGAAACAGTCACTGCCCTCAAGTAGCTCACAGAATGACAGACAAAAAAGAAACTTTCAAAAGGCCCAAAGTGTTTGGTGGAGACAAATCCTAAGAAGCATCATCTAACATAAGGAAGGGATGCAGACTGAAGGTCTGGGAGAGGAGAGTGGCTCTCTACTGCGTCCCAGGTGAGAAGAGCTGGCTGGGGAAGGGCGAGGAGTTTGGAAGACAGTTGGTCTGGGCAGCAGGAAGGATGTGTACATTAAAGACTCAGTGAGGAAGGAACTGGCTGAGAACTCCTCCCTTCCCCACCCACCTTCACGCCCCTCCCCACTTTTACCCCCCACCCTTACCCCACCCCCCACCCCCTACTGGAGCTGAGCCTAGAAACACCCATGCAGGGCTTCTCTCTCCAAGTGTGGTCCTCCGCCCTGCATCACAGTCACAGGCACCGGACCAAACGTGGAACTCCTGGCCTGACACAAAGTCCTTGTGTCTGAGAGAATTCACATCTTTCACAAACCTGTCCTGTGAGTCTCCTATGTACAAAGTTCCAAAACCACTGCTCCCAAGACCCTGTTAAGATAATAGAACCATGCACATTTTCTTTCTCTCTCTCTTTCTTTCTTTTCTTTCTTTCTTTCTTTCTCTCTCTTTCTCTTTCTTTCCTTTTCTTCTTCTCTCTTTCTTTTTTCTTTTACTTTCTGTTTTCTTTTTCCTTCCTTCCTTCCTTTCTTTCTTTTCTTTTCTTTCTTCTTTTTCCTTCCTTCCTTTCTTCCTTCCTTCCTTCCTCCCTTCTTTCTTCTTTTCCTTCTCCACAGGACAAGTTCTATAAGGTACATTTTTTATTTGTAAAAATAAATTATTTCAAACTCTCCCTATTGGTAATGTAAGTATATATAAAGAGGTGAGTAATGGATTTCAAAACAAATCTAATTTTTAAAATTTTTGTTTCATGGATATACTATACGCATATATATGGATGTATAGATATATATAATTATTTAACATTAGCCTATCTCTGAGTCTGTGTAGGTGTCCTAATTAGTTTTCACAATGAACAGATAACATCTGATGGAAATATTCTTTCTTTTTATTTTTTTGTTTCTTTCTTTTTTTTTTTTTTTTTTTTTTTTTTGCTAGCATTCATAGTTCAATCGCTTAGCACAAAAGTTAAAACTGGATAAACACAGGCAGGATTTGTCTGTCTCTGGCATTCCAAACCCAGCGCCATCTGTGTTGACAATAGCTTGAAGTACAGACCATCAATTGATGCTGAAGATCTAAAAGGATTACCAGCAATAAAAGTCTCCCTGGACGGACCACCATCCTAAAAGCCGGCCACCACTCAAAGTTCATCTCATGCTTGCCTCTGAAGGTAATTGCTGCATCTGCTTCTGGAAGTAGCTGAAACCAACACACGCCTGGCTTCTATTTTGTGAATAGCAAGCTGCTTGGAGCGGGAGAGTGAAAGAGATTTGAGCACAGCCAGCCCGGAGTGCGGCCACGGGTCAGAAGTGAAGACACAAACAGCTGCTTCTTCAATAGAACCATCAGCGCTTCTCCAAGCTCCTTGCACTTGTCCACAAGCTGCCAAGCAGGGGCTATTGTGTTATTTTTATGCTGTGGGAACTTTGGCCTTAAAAACAAATGGACAAGCTTAACTATGCAGTGTCAATCAAAGCTGCTGGGGTTGAGGGTGGGGGTGGGGAGAGTGTTAAAATTTTAATTAGTTTGGGTAGCTTTTTGTTTGTTGTTTTTTCACTCTGTGATCACTGCGGTTGACTTTGTTTAACTTACTACATTCAGATGAACAAAATTCCACATGTCTTTTATCACTGGGCTTCTTTTTTTTCTATTTTCTTGTGCACTGGCAGCAATCTCAGATCTTGGGTGTCGATTCACTGTCTTCTGGCAACGATGCACTGGCCCAGACTGATACCTGTGAGAATCCACCCAGTGCATTCACAGATTTCCCATAAGGAATACTTGTCAGAGCCTCAACCAAGTCAGGTACTTTGTTTTTTCCCCATGTTCTGTAACTTGTTCATTAATGATTTTGGCTCTGAAGCAAAAGAAACATGGGGAAGCAACTAAGAGTAGTAAGTGACGCCTCATTTTCTCTTTCCCAAAATAAAAGGTGGTAAACCAATGAAGTATACATACGGAGAATGATGACATTGAGACTGCTGCCACGTTGGCCTAAGTTGTGATGCAGAGGACAACAGAAAAACTTTTATGGATGAGACTCAAAAAACCTCCAGAATTTCTTGCTTACCATGGAATCTGCTTCATGTTTCAATGGTTACGTGCATGAACTGTGGTTGGAAGTATGAGGACAAAGATTCACACAGCCAGGAGTGATCTGAACACCAGAAAGTTTCCCTGGAGAGCACATTCCAGGAGGACACAGAGCAAACCTTCCAGTTGTTCACAGGAAAATAGCCTCAGTCCCCAACCAGCCGGGCTTCTCAGACCCTGGCATGAAACCGCCACCTTCTATTTACAAACAACAACAACAACAACAACAAAACATATAAAGACAAAAACGAGTGCAATAACAGGAAAGGAAACTTTCTTAGCCCTGTCAGATAAGTGCAAAATTGGCCTTTACAAATGAGAAGGAAGCTGCATTCAGGGTGTCTGAGGAAATTTGCACAAGGATCATCTATGATAATATTTAGGTATTGACATGATGCACCTAAAAATGAATGAAAATAATATCTAGGTTCTAAAAAGCCCACATGAGCCAAATAGCAGTACCTAAGACAATTGTTTAATTTTTTTCCAAAGTATAAACTCCAAAATCAATCTAGCAGTTTGATGTTAGCTAATAGAAGAGAACAGTGAGAGAATTTTAAACGAGGAAATCTAGAGTGTGGAGCTCTAGGTACAAACAAGGGGAGGAAAGACAAAAGGAGTTTTTCCAAAAAAGGTCTAAAAATGTATTGTCCTCAATCTCCAACTGCCCCTCAAACACAGCTACATTGTCAGGAGCCCACGGTGGTTAGCATGATGATAACTTCCCATTTAAAGTACCTGCTATGAAAAAAATTATAAAACTAAACGGCCAACAATAAAAAGCTGATGAAGTACACTATAATGTAAATGATGGAAGAACAATGAAATTAGAAAATAGTCTCATTATAGTATGTAAAGAGAAATGACGGGACAGAATCCTGTTTTGAAAGCCACTGACATTGGCAGATTTGTATAGAGCTACTTAAAGAGCTCTGTGTGCACAGAAAAGTTGCTGAAATTAGCCAAACCCAAATGTTCACAGGAGTTATTACCGGATGATGAGATCATGGATAACTGTTATTTTATTCTTTGCATTTTTCTTTTTCTTTTTTTTTCAAATTTTCTAAAGAGAATATGTATCTGCTTTTAAATCAAATAGTATTTTAAAAATTTGAACTAATTTCATTTTCCCAAATCAAAACCTTAGGCTATTATGACATTCCTTTAGAAATGATCTATTTTATTAATGCCAGACTTTTTATCCTATAGTTTTCAGATGAACATTAGATTAATGTACATAAATACTGTTATGTATTAATAAGCAGTTGCTTTACTGATAACACAGCAATTGTTTAACTGAATTATTACATTAATGAAATTATTTCCTATAAGAAGGATTATGTTACTATTTCTATGACTCCACTTGTGACTTATTGAAGGTTCACAGAGGATTAGAAGGAATCAAAAATGTAACACGTTCCTCATGGATAATATTGGAACAGTTTTCATTTCCACATTGAAGTGAATACTCCAATGTGCACATGTACAGACACATCCAAAGTTCCAAAAATTTCAGTCATCTCTCAAAACTTATATATATTCAAAGATATGAGCCTTAAAACCATCACAGATGCAACATGCATAGGAAAGAAATATGAATTTTCTGTTGTTATTAACAAGGACTCATTCTGAAAAGCCAAAAGAATTTTTTTCAAATGCAATTTAATCATACGTAACGCCTTGTTACCTTACCTTGACAAATAATAAATGCAAAAATATAAACCCAAGGGGCATGTTTATGAAATGCAGAACCACAAGTCACCCACCAGACTGGTATGAAGAAACGAGATTTTCAAAATGCGTTCCATTTAAACAATTGTAGGATACGTCACAGCATCAAGGACAACTGAAAAACAAACAAACAAAAAATACAGCCTCTATCTCCCGCTCACACACGCAGCCTTACTTTATTTCAAATATTTCCTTGTTTCCCTTTGCCAAGATACTGCTTTGGAAAAAGAGTGCTTTGAAAAAGGCAGCCACTGCAAGTAAGATGAAATCCTTTATATGGCCTATCTGTTAGTATCCTCATATCCTATGTTCTTTATCAGTTTTGTTTTAATTACATATTCAATACTGATTTTGAATGACAATTCCGCTTCCACACAGAAATACTCTTATTTCCAATACTCCCAACAATAACCAAGCTGCTTTCTTCTCTCCATTACTCCACCTTGATTCCTTCCTATTTTTCATCGTGACACACCCAAAAGACCGTTAATATCCTTTCTACAAATTGACTCTTAGTTACATTTCTCTTCAGTTAATAGCTTGGAGTAGGCAGGCATGAGACCATAAAAATATAATCTTTAATCTTAAGGACTTCCCGTCCAGGAAGGCTCAGGGCAGACCAAATGGCACCAAGTGAGCAGCCTGACCTGCCGTGCTCCCGGCGTGAATAAACAACCCTGATTAAGAGTTACATTCTGCTACGGACAGAAACAGCCATCTTGCCTACACTGAAATTTCAGTTTGTCTCCCCTGGAATAACATAAAGCTTGTTCACAGGGTGAATGTGCCAGTGTTGCATTTCCTTTCCTGGGTTAGAGAAACACAATAATTCTGTTATGGTCCTTCCCACTTGCACGCAGAAAGGACCAAAAAAAAAAAAAAAAAGAAAAAAGAAAAGAAAAAAAGGAGGGGAGGTGCGAAGCAGTTTGATTTAGACCCAGCTGTTAGTTTTTCTTGCAGCTCCAGTGTCCTGAACATTCGCCTGGTTGCGTCCCCCTTTGCCTTTCAAAGCTCTTACAATGTCCCTCTGTGTCACAATGGAAGACGCGTAGCCTCAGCCACAGCTGATGAGCTCCTGCATCTTATCATACCTTTTGAAATCACGCCAATCTAGCACTTCCCACTTTCTTCAGCTTCTCACTCTGGATTCTCTCCTTTGCCCATGAGAAACACAAACTCTTCTGAAAACAATGGGCTGTAAAATGAGAAAAGTTAAGAATCAGCATTAATTTCTCATAAATCTAATTTCCAATTTCCCACCAGTCTGAGTTCTGGTCCAAACTCTCACACACACATCCTGTGGGAAATGCTTGTTCATGTCCGTAGAACTAACCTAACACTCGGTTGGTTTTTCTCCTTGGTGGAAAGAAATACTATAATTCAGCAGAAGAACTGTCCAAGGAGGTTGTTAGAAATGAGTAGATCTATTATAATTTCTTTTTTTATCCTGACTGGGTGCAGGAAGGCAGATATACTTACCTATAGAAAATGCATATGAATATTTTTCCTTTTTTGAATATGTTTTTCATGCTAATTTGCAGTAGCGTGGGAAGAGCGTATTAAAACTATATTTTTACCATTCTGCAGAAAGACGTAGTAAAGACATTTAAAAGAAAGCATGATAATATTAAATAGTTGTTCATGAGACATCATCTGAAAGTGTTTTACTCATTTTGATACAACAGAGAAAAATGAGAAAAAACAGCCTAGAAAGAAGTTGCTATCATTGGAGGGTCAGATTCAGTATGAACCCCTTATTTTAGACTTCTTAGTCTCAAACTCACGTTAAGGAGACGTTTTACTCATCACAGTAGTATATGCTATTTCTATTAGTTTGAACATTTTTCCTTACTTTTATGATGAAAAATAAATGGGTAATGCTGAACTCTAAGAAATAAAAATATCTTCTTTTAAAATGTGATTCCTTTAATACTTCTGTCTTCCCATCTTTTCCAGTCATATGGTATGAGTAACATTTCTTAATCAGATGTCATTTTTCAGATCTACGAGCGTAAGTACGCGTTCTTCTATAATATCTCTACTAGGACAGCTCAAGTATACCATGTATAATATTTCTGGTATCATATCCCATTCGGTAAGCACAGATTCTATAACTGATCATAAAAAATTGATAGCAACTTTGATGATACAACACAAACCTGTAGTTGGAAAATAAAAGATATAAAGTGACTTATTTTTTTAAATAAATACAATCTTGCTAATGTCTATATGTCCTAGAACAAAAAAAAAACATGAAAAATTAGTTTCTGTCGTTTGTATTAATAGTAACATAAGTTAAAAACAAGTAGTGAGAGTAGAGAGAACCTGGGACAGTAACTGGGAGCCCTGGGTTTCCACCTCGACGAGGCCAGCATGACTGAAACAAATCATGCCGCTTCTCTGGGTCTTAATTTCCTCCTCTGTGAATCTTTTCTAGGGTGTACAAGACCCAAGCTAGACCCCAAGACCAACTCTCCTATGGTACACCTGGTGCTGTTTCAATGACTTTTCTTGTACTCCCTCAGTTAATCCTCCCAGAAACTCACGAGGTAGGCACAATCAGACAAGAACATGGTGGCATAGAGGGGCTAAGGCAGGCTCTGATGTAGCAGAACTTTGATTCAAACCCAGGCCAGCTGCAATGTCTGAGGTGCTGGCTGCTGTACTGCATCGCCTTTTATTCTACAGCTATAGCTCGCATTTGAAAGAGATTAAGAAAAGGCATCATTGGCCAGAAGAGACCATAAGGCTCTTTTACAAATCAAGGAGACTCACTCTGCAAGCCATACCCTCATTTGACCATAGTGAGTGTGGTCAAATGTGTGAGTTTGGTCCTGTTATTGTGTCTGGAGGCTGCCTGGGTGCAGGTAGAGTCTCTCAGGGGCAACAAGAAGTTTGAGTGGCCAGGTTCCACTATCTCATCCTCAGTCTTTTCATTTTAGAAACTGATTAAACAATAAAAATATATAGGATGGCCAGAGGTGATTTTATTTCTAATAGCACATTCACACTTGGAAGATTGACAGTGAATTGTTCCACAAACCCTAGAAACAGTTGACATCTACAAGGGAGCCATGTCTTCCAAGTACCCACAAGATCCTATCCCCTTATCTAGGACATGGCCCTCCCCCTTTCAGTGGCACTTAAGAAGTCAAATTATTTCTCCATAGCTTATTTAATACATTAATCTAAACAGAAGTAAGAGAAATGTTTGGAAGATGGTGTTTGATCTAAGCTTTGGAAGGGCCCAGTGAATGTCCCAACTCTCTGAAGTCTGGAGACTGCAGGGTAATGAAAACGCTTTTCTTTTTCCTTCCTTTCTTTCTTTCTTTTTTTTTTTTTGAGACGGAGTCTCGCTCTGTCGCCCAGGCTGGAGTGCAGTGGTGTGATCTCGGCTCACTGCAAGCTCTGCCTCCCGGGTTCACGCCATTCTCCTGCCTCAGCCTCCCGAGTAGCTGGGACTACAGGTGCCCGCCACCTCGCCCGGCTAGTTTTTTGTATTTTTTTTTTTTTTTTTTAGTAGAAACGGGGTTTCACCATGTCAGCCAAGACGGTCTCGATCTCCTGACCTCGTGATCCACACACCTCAGCCTCCCAAAGTGCTGGGATTACAGGTGTGAGCTACTGAGCCCAGCTGAAACTGCCTTTCAAAAATCTTGATGGTGAAACAAATCTGACCTGACCGACTCCATCTTGCTTCTGACCTCCAAGTTGCCTTTGTTCTTTCGTGGGCGTAGGCTATGAAAGTTACAGTTTATCTTTGAAACCAAGATGATAACAGCCTCTTCCAAAAACAAACCCCCTCCTTGCTTGGGAATTAGGCTTTTGTAGAACTAACAAATTCATCGTAAGATTGGAAATTATGGCTCAGAAGTCATGCAGCCAGAGGCCATAATATTCCTAACCTCCCCAGTTGCTCCTGTGGATAAAATTGCCATTGTAAAACCTAAGATTGGTGTTCAAGGTATTTTTTAGACCCTGCCTTCTGATGGACCAACTGATGCCACCCAGATGGGTAAACTGGTTCATCGGGTCTCGTGGCTCCCATCCAGGGACTGACAGTGCAAAAAGACAGCTTTGATTCCTTACGCTTTTAACTCGGCTCCAGCCAATCAGCAATCCCCATTCCCTACCTCCCTGCCCACTAAACTATCCTTAAAAAACTCTAGCCTCTGAATTTTCAGGGACACTTATCTGAGTAGTAATAAAACTTTGGTTTTCCATTTAAATGGATCTGTGTTTATCAAACGTTTTTCTATTGCAATAACGCTGTCTCAGTAAACTGGCTTTTCCGGACAGCGGGCAAGATGAACCCACTGGGTGATAACCATCTTGTTCCTCCAAGGCTGAGGTTATGCTTTAATCTGGGGCAGGAGGGGCATGAATGATCTTTGCTCCCCTAGCCCTCTCCTTCTAAGCTGATCATCCTCTTTTTACCCATGGATTCCTTCTGGTTTTGTTTGCAGATCCTCAGGGACCTTAATTAAACTGGCACTAAGTGTGGAGACCACCTTCCCCTGTGAGGTGTTTTTTTTTTTTTTTTTTTTTTTTGATGGATTCAGCTCTAGGTCTAGGACCACCCAAGGTCAGAGCCCCCAGTAACCTGTAACACAGTGGACGTACAATAAGTACACAGGACATCCCTGTTATTTTCTCTTGCCATTCAAATTTTCTGTTTCTGCAGTGGAATTCACCATCTTCTAGAAGATTTAAACAACAGATATTTTTTAAAAAAGATTAGTAACTTAATGCATCTCATATTTTATTGGAATTAGTAAACAAACGGTAACAATCACAGCTGTGATGCACAGCAGGATCCCCAGGCGAATCTCAAAACACTTGATGTTTCCCAGCGCGGACTCCTGCCTGTTCTTCTTAAAGGTACAAAGTCACAGACTTTAAAAGAGGCCTACTTGTGGTCTACCATTTGTGTGTGTGTGTGTTGGGTTGGGGGGGCGGTTGTAGAGTGAGTGTCTAGAACCCACACTTCTTATTTTCATCAATCTGTGTTTCTTTTCAAACATTTCAAAATAGTGAGACAGACGCCCATTTTGCTTTCAAATACCTTTTATACAAAATATTGTCTATTCCAAGCTTGGATATATCATTTGTTTGTGCTCCTTTTAGACAATTAGGATAATTGCTTGAAGATTTAGGAATTGATATAGCAGTGCAATTGCATTATTTTGTATGTTCAGCCATATCTCTTTCTAAAATAGTCACACTGTGTCTGAGATCTATTGGGAGTGCATGCCCCTTCTTTCTGTATCACATGGTAGCTCTCCAAACTAATAAAATGACCTGCTCTTAGTGACAAAGGACCCGATGACTTTTTCAGAAGAGAGTGGACTCTAGATATGCTGTTCCTGCCCAATGATTCTGACCTGGCATCATCCTGTCATGATGATAAATTGTATGTACAATTTATAGTTGGAGCAGATGGGAGAGTGTAGGTTATTAAAATCTAAAGCTGTCTCCTGAACAGAAAGAGAATTGTTTATCTTTCAATGAAACATAGATTTCTTACAGAGGAAATTGTGACTATTCCAGTTTTCATAAATAAAGCAATTATGCAAGTTAGAGATACCTAGGCTAAAATAGAATAAAGATTGTTTCTAAATGATGTAATTTACTAAGTTCATTGAATGCCTGTTAGCATCCAGTAATACAAAAATTTACCAGAAAATATGCTGTAATAATAATCAATATTTCTCTTTCCATTAAATACCTAATTTCTGGGCAAGAGGCTTATGTCACGTTACCTAAGCTCAAGCATATAGAGAGGCTGTTTTTAGATGTGCTGTACAATGTCAAGAAGGAGATGGAATACATTTTGGCTTGAAAAAAACTAATTATAATCAGAAATTTACTAATTTTCAAAGGTATTCAAAAACTCAGATTTTAAAAGGTAAGCCCATAGATGAGGGAAAAAGAATGTAAAAGCTCAAATAAACTCCCATGTCAATTGGCCTTAGGGTTTTATTTCAGCTACAGCTTAACCCAAATCAAGGGCTTTCAGATCCAAATGTATTGACTTATTCACTTACTCTTAATTCAGTGACTAGTGATTGAGATCTAGGCATATTATGGAAACTTCTGGAAAACTATCACTAACCATGTTATTGATCTCAAAAGTCACCTCAGTTACAGAATTCCCTCCAGGGAATTAGGTGTACTTTTGGTGAAGCTGAATGGCATTATTCACCTCCATTGAGCAGATGGCCTGAGGAAGGTATCCATTAAAAATGTACATCTATGTATTACCCTACTCTGTGTTGAACATTTTTCACTCATTGTCACTTTACCTCCATAATTCTGAGAAGTAGCAGGTGTCATTGCTACACTTCACAATGCATCAACTTGCAACTTAAGCAAAGAATACTTTCCCAATGTCATAGTAATATCAGGAGGCAGGACTGGGACTTCAACTCAAGCTTGGCTGGCCCCCAAGTCCCCTTCTCATCTCTTTGCACCACTGTCTTCAAGGGAAAAGGATGAAGCTCTCCACCTAGGCCATAACACAACCCAAACTTCTGAATTTTTACAGAAGAATGTACGCAGAAGGATTACAGAAGAATGTTCCTCTTAATGTTGGTGTACAGTTTTCTTTAATGACTGAGCAGTGGATGCATTTGGTTTTTAGAAAATTTAACTGCAAATTCCTGTGGGCCAGCTCTTGCCAGAACTTACCATCCAATACTTGAAGGGACAATCTAAGGCGCATTTGACTCACACATTCTTCTAGATTTTCCAAGCCTTATTACTTAATAATCATATCATCCAAAAACCAAACAATTAGATTACATTATTTTCACTTTTTTTCATAAAATTTATCACACAGGTTGAAATTTAATGTAATGTCCTGAGATTTGAGGGGATGGTACGAAAGACATTCATTAGAATAATTTTCACTCACTTAACAAATTTTTAGTAAGTGCTTCCCCATGCCAGCCCTGCCCCTGAAATATAAAGTTGAGCAAAAGCAGATTTGGTTTCTACTCTTATAACACTTACATTCCCTTAGTTCAAAACACAGATAATAATCACACATACATTACTATTATAATAACTACTTAGATGGAGGGAAACATGATGTTCTGATGATGACTCATAATAGCCTTTGATTTAAGTAGGAAATTCTGCAAAACCATGGTTGAAATGACCCAGCAGAATATATTTTTGTTAGGATCCATGTATGAAGCATACTTTGTAGAATTAAGTCAATTAAAAATAGGTTTCACTACTTTGCTTTGTCCTTTTTTCTTTTCATCTGACACCAAGGACCAAATCTAATCTAATCCAATCTAATCCTTTTTTTAAAAAAACATATTTCCAGAGGCTTAAATTTGTGCCTGAGCATTATTAAGTTACAACTCACTCTTTCTTCATTATTTTAATGTAACTGTGGTCTCTTTGTATTTTAATTACTTCACTTTAGGTACGCTTTAACATTGAATATGCCTCAAACGTTTTGTGAAAATTGACAAGTATAAGTAAAAAATAAATAATTAGTAAATTATTTGTTTTTAATTGTCAGTTGATTTTTTTTTTTTTTTTTTTTTTTTTTACTGTAACCCTAGTTACCCTTAATTAAAAGCTGCAAATTCCTTTAGGGTTTTGAAAAGATTTCAAAAAGGCATGAATGAGTGACTTCTCAGTAAACTCCAGGGCTGCAGACATCTTGAAATTACCAAGTCCAAAGGGCTTAAATATTCTTCATGAGGAGAAAAAAAAGCAAAACTTTACAATAACCTACCTTTCACTTTTCAACTCTTATTCTTTATACTACAAGGGATAGAACTTGGAATAAAAAAGCCTATCCTTTTCATCATGTTCCACTTTACGCTAGAACAGTGCAATCTCATCAGAGTAAATGACTTAGTTCTACCCTGTACACCCAGACTTAGGTAGGCAAGGAGGGAAACCAAGTTCCCAGAAGCCCAGGGCGCCTCTACTGGTGGATGAGGAGGGCACTGAGAAAGCGGCATCAACATCAACATCTTCCAAAGAGAGACCACCAGATGGACAGCCAACGCCAAGAGGCACATGCACACACCTTCAGTCACTCATCCTTAGAAAAGTGTCCTCTTAGGGGATGCTTAAGACATATTCTTTCAGAGTTACATTAATCACACTTGGGGGAAGTATGAGATTTGGTGTCTGCCTGTTCACTAGCTACCTTTACCAGGGAAATATTTTATTTACCATATTAATTACCTTTTTGATTTTTCCCTCACCAGTGTATTTTTAATTTTTTTACACCTTGGCCTTAAATAATCTGATATCCTTATGCAGTGACCTTTTGCTGACTTTATGGAATATGCTGATTAAAGAAAAATTTCTTTTCCTTACATGACAAAAATACTTAAAAAACATTTGCTGTGCTTGGGAGAGACTCTATTTCAAAATTCAACATTCCAATAGATCCCATTTTTCAATTTTTGCTTTCGTTGCAATTGATTTTGGCGATTTAATGCATGCTGGGCTTCATACCTAGGTAATGGGTTGATATGTGTAGCAAAACACCAGGGCACACGTTTACCTATGTAACAAACCTGTACATCCTGCTCATATACCCTAGAACTAAAAACAAGAAGTAAAAAAAAAAAATTCAAATACACAAAACTACAAGGGATTTTTTTCAATCTTTCTTGAAATTAAAAGGCTGCTTATAAAAGTTCAAGGTCCCTTGAATAAGGCCAGGAATGTTTTGACAGTTGCAAACTGTCTAATTCCTACATTCTCCTACCTTGTTAAAATTATGTTTTGGTCACTGAGTTGGACCACTGAGAATGTGCTCCCATTAATCTAGGGGAGCATGGATGATGCTCTATCAATGAATAATTCAGACATAGATATGGCTTGAATGTTTACATTGAACTGTAATGGAAACATTTTATTTAAGTAAACTACTTCCATTACAACCACATTTTATTGTGTCACAAAACAGATGATTATCCCTCTAATTTCATTTTCTGTGTTGGATATATGTGGAGGCTATGTTGAAAAACGAACTGGTCATAATGTGAATCCAGTTACAATAATGCGAACTTGGTCACACTGATAATTTACTCAAGTAGTCTTTTTTGTATAATTATTTATGTTGTACATGCATTTTTCTTGGTTGTGAAAGTTTGAAAACTGCAAAGTGAAATTCTTATTGTCTATTTTATCTGTTAAACATTAGAATAAGGAATTAAAACTAAAGTATATTCAGATTGGGAGCAATTAATAAGTAGCAATGCTTTCACTATTCCAATTTTAGTACAACTTTTCTAAACAAAATTAAACAAACAAACCAATTTATACCAACTCTAGCTTGGGAGCTTAGTTTCAGCAGTACTGGGAAGCCCTCCACCTTTCTAATATTCATTGGTCATAGCTACTTACAGGTAGGTTATCATATCAGTGAATTCACTAGAGAAGTGAGACATAGTCCCTTATATATTATCTAACTTTACTTTCTTTCAGGTTATGTGAGTTTCTCCCCCTCACTCAGTGAAAAAAAACGTCACTTTTGCTTCCAAATGTAGCCATACTTTATAATCAGTTATATACTTTAACAGATACAAAGAAGTAGTCATGTAATTTTCAGGGGTTAAAATTTCCATTCCACCCCCAAACACCAGGACACCAATAATTAACGAAACTGGTCCTCCATGTGTGTGTTCATGGTGACTTGAAATCAGCTGAAAGGTTTCAGAGGCCCGTGGACCAAGGCCCAGGACCAGTGCTTGGGATAATGTTAGTAAAAATACTCCCAGGTGAACATTTCTTCAGGTTTTAACTTCTCTGTAAGAAAGGCATATGGTGCCTGAAAGTTTTCTACTTGTGAGTTTCTATCTGCTGCATTTGAGTTGCTTGTTGTGTTCCAGGAAAGTCAAGCTAATCTGATGAACAATTTTCTTTCTCAACTCTTCAGTCTTCATTAATATGATTCTAGCATCATACGCATTGCTAGGTGACATTAGAGAAATGAAATAAGAATTCTAGGCGAAGCTTGTACTAGCCGAGTCATGGAATTGCTTACCCATGGATCAACTTTTAAAAAATGGATCCTAGAGAAAATAAGTAGACAGAAATAATAATGGCAGAAAAAGATGGAGAAAAGGTGCCTGTGAGAATAATGTGAGAAACTCACCTATGATAACTCAAAGTTTCCTTGTTTTTATCTTCAATATGAAGGTCTCATCAAGTCAATCTAAGAAAATGAAAATCATTTTAAATGAATGAAAGATAATACTTTTAGAAAAGAATAATATCAAAAGGTAAATGAGAAAAATAAAATCAAACAACCGTAAAGACAAAATAAAAGGAGTTATGATGAATAACAAATAGTTGAGAAAGCATCATGGTGACAAAATGGTGAGAGCAGAGGACTGCCCAGGAAACCATCCTTCCACACGCCCCCACTTTGCCAGGTGAGAGTTCCTCTTCTTCTCAGGGATAGCGACAGAGTTTCAAAGAGGCAGCAGCAGCAGTTCATTGGTGATCTGTTTTGGAATAATCCTTCCAATATGTCATTGTTCATGTCTACTTGTCAGATTGTCTCACTTTTAATACTTTCTAACCTTTTTTGTTTTAAATGCATACTTAGGCATCAAATTTTTAAACTTGTGACACCATAAATATGTTTTAACTATTAAACCTTTCCAAAATGAGATTTCCAAGGGGAGGCACTGATGACTCTGGTTTGGCAAATCCTCCTTTTAAAAAATATTTGTTTTCAAATAAGGTCTGACCTGATTGAAAAGTACCATTACCAGAACTGAAACAGTCATATTTCTATAAAAACCCAAAGAGCAAATGAAGATATATTTGTGGGGAAGAAAGGCTTTTACTTAAGAATGTTTCCTAGTTTATTGTAAGTGGTTATAAATACTTGCTTAAAGTTCACTTAGAGCTACCTAAGAACAATAAGCTTCGGTTAAGCACAGTGAGTGTTGTTCACTAATAACAGTAAAATAATTTGTATTCTGGTTGTGCCTAGTATTTGTTAGTTGTCAAAGTTAAACAAGAAGGCATCAGCCCTTGGCGACCATAGAATGTAAATGAATGGACTGAGAGAAATGCTCTATTCTTATTAAAAAACTGGAGAGATTGGAAATTCATACAAAGATCAGAGGCTCCTTTTTCTTTCTTTAGTGAGTTAATAAGCATTTATTAAACACAATGCTACAGAAAGCTACAAGTACATTACATTCCATAGGTTTAGGAAGTGGATGGTGGTCATGCCTTAGGAATGGATGTGAAGGTATGTAAACTTGTTTTCACAAGAAAATTAAAAAGAGGGACTAAAGAATAAGCAGTATAACCAGTGTAAGACAAAACGTCACATTTTCTGATGTGAAGGCTCTATTTGAAGAAAGCCAACTGAAGATTGAGGTAATTCTATAGATTTTTCATGCATGACAAGTATGCCTTTGTGTGACATATTTTAGTCACTGGCTTGGGCTTGTGTGGGTAGTGCAATGCCAACATGCCTCTTAAGCTCTTAAGTTTTTACTTCCACAGGCCATCCTATTTCTTTAGCCACTCTTTTTTTCTTTTCTTTCTTTTTTTTTTTTTTTTTGAGACAGAGTTTTGCTCTTGTCGCCCAGGCTGGGGTGCAATGGCACAATCTCGGCTCACTACAACCTCCGCCTCCCAGGTTCAAGTGATTCTCCTGCCTCAGGCTCCCTAGTAGCTGGGATTACAGGTGCCCACCACCACGCTTGGCTAATTTTTGTATTTTTAGTAGAGTCAGGGTTTTGCCATGTTGGCCAGGCTGGACTTGAACTCCTGACCTCAGGTGATCCGCCCACCTCAGCCTTCCAAAGTGCTGGGATTACAGGCTTGAGCCACCATGCCTGACCTCTTTGGCTGCTTTTATGGTGCTTCTCTAAAATGGTATTTAAAAGAAGGAAAACAAATTGGCACATGCAGTTGTTGGTGAAGACATGTAATCATCTTAGAAATGTGAAGTTTTAATTCTGGCTGATAAATCAGAAGATTCAGTGCTATAAGAAGTTGGGAATCACTGAGGCTTTTGAGAGTTGGGAGAAACAACATAGAGATAAACTCGTGACTTTATTTAAATAAAAAGTGCTACTGAGCAGAGCCTTGACCTCTGCAAAAGTCCTAGAGCAAGAGAATTGAGTCTAATAGAAATGGATGGCTTGGTTACATTAAGGAAAGGCTGACAGAAATGGCTTTAATTATCTTCCTAGGTATTATTCTGCAGGCATTTTGCCAAATATATTTTCAAAGAGAAAACGCAAACACAAAAATAAGATGCAAATGGCTCCCAAGTGTACTAGTATGTCTTAAAGAAATTTTATGGGGTTTTATTCTGCTTTTAAATTTGCTACTTGTCCTTAAAGCCATCATGTTTTTCAAAACTCTCTTAAGGTTGAACAGTTAAAATTCCCTCGGCTTTAAACCAGGATGTCTGCATTTGGCTAAATAATTTTTTCCCTTGTTTTGTGATTTTACCATCAAGTTAAACTCTAAAGTTCAATGTCAAATGGAACAACTGGACTCTCATCGTAGGATCTGTGAAAATTGAAGTGCAAACATGAGCTATAGATATGATTTCAAACTGGGTTACAAAGAAAAGATAGGGAATGTAACACACTTCAGTGTCAAGAGTATCTATTTAGGAAATGCAGCCGCTTTTATTTTTAAATCTTTTTTAAATGTCAAAAATGCTGTGGGTGTGTAGAGTGTGATTATTGACAGCTGTTTTTGTTTTTGATAATGTGTCAGCATTTGGTTCCTGTTTACCTAAATCAAAGAAGATAAGGTTTCTTGTGAAGGCTGCCATGGATGTTTACATAACATACCTCATGATTCTGGAAATGAGTACCGCTTCCTGCTCAAGACTGAAAAGAAGAAATGGGATATGTAGTGTTCATACACACTAAAATAGCTGCCACAGGTATGACGGACAAGGCCTTAAGTTACACAGCAAATATCATTTCTACCTTCCCACCTGCCTTCAAGTAGTATCAAGTTATTTACTGTTTTGTTAACTTATCATGTGTTTTTGCCTCTTCCTCTTGTCTAGAATATCATTCTTTTTTTCTCTTTTCTCTCCAAATGATGAGCATCCATTCATCTTCAAAGTCCTGATTTCAATGCCACTTCTGAAAGATTTTCCCCAACTGTGCCAAGCAGAAAAAATGATGTCCTTCTCTGCATTTCTATAGCATTTTATAAACACTCACTTTTTAACAAGCATTATGTGTAGCAGAATTAAATGTTTATGTGTGAGATTCCTGTCCTAGCCCCTGCATTCTCCAAGGGTGTAGCCCTTGACTTCTTCCTCATCACCTCCCTGGAAACCAGTGGCACAGAAACGGACACACAGGGGTCATTCAACACTTTTGTTGGATGAATGGGTGAATAAATGAATGAGTCCATTAGTCAGAACCAATGCTATTTAGTTCACCTTGTATCAGAATTAAGTCACAACCCAAGGATCTTAGGGGACTCTTATGCAGGAGGCAAGATTTGATAATCCCCTTTAAGAATAACCTGACCTAAAGAATTTCTAAAATCTTTTTCAACTCGATATTCTATGCATTTATGAATTTTAGGGATCTAAGTGGTAAACCATTTCTATCATTCTTTTGTCCATGCATGATATAGGATATGTGAAGGATAATGGAGTCGTGGAATATCTGGACATATTTCTCTCTTTACTGCATTTTCCAAATGTAGCCTAGATGTTAGTGAAATAAACTGAGCTCTCTGTGCTGCAAAACTATGTTGTACTGCCAGATGTCGAGTCCGTTCCTCTCTACTTCATACACCAAGCATCATAACGTAGCCATTCTTCTCTGCTTATCTCTCCCTCTCTGCCCCACACACTGAATGCTGGATGATTCGTAACAGCTTTTACCTCCACTCTGGGAGATTCAACTTTATGTTGACTTTGGTTGTATCATGAACTGCGTTCTTCAAGATCATCTGTAGTTTTCGAGTGAAGCACTTCATTGCTGTTTCCTTACTAAGTAGATTTTGACATTTGTACAGGAAAAGAGGATCGCTACCAAAATAGCATCTCTATGGAGAAAGGAAATTCACTTGGAGGTAAACATAGTAACTGTTTAAAGATAAGGAAGATGATCATCAACACATTCTTGAGAATAATAGAAACTTTAGCAGAGCGCTGCCATTCCACCAGTTCTCCCAAATGGTATTTTCTCTTCAAGCAGTGGAGATCAGTATTGCTATGAAAGCGTCTTTATCCAGAAATTTCTCTACACAGCAGTAGAAACCGCACTCTCACAGATGCAACCTGACTGGCTAGACAGAAAACATTTTCCTCTATTGTAAGAAAGTGCAGGCTCTCTATGTAAGGATTATCTTTGCATTCAATCTTTTATTTACTTAATGAACTTTTTCCGTGCTAGTCTCTCCATACAAAGTGTTGCAGCTTCTCAAGAATTCTTCTCAGGTCTGGAGTGAAGATCTTATAAAAAGCATATTGGGAATGTTCAGAACAGGACCGAGCATAAAAACAGTTTCTACATTTCCTACCACACATGGGCCATATCAGCTGTGGTAAGAGTAAGTGTTGGTGCTAGCATATAAACCCTCTTTCTTAAAAAAAAAATAGTGAAGTCATCTTTTGTGCCAACTACTAGGAAGTTTTCATTGGAAATATAACTTTAGTTTCTGCTTTCAAAGAACTGCAACATTAACAAATTGCAAGAGCAATATACAAATATTTAAATAATGATCAAGATTAAAGCAAAGAGTAGATTAATTACCTATAGGGTAAGAGGAAACTGGTTTTTCACAAGACGTGCATAACTCAACATTCGTTAGTTTGAATTCTAACTCTGACATTCACTAGCAATTTATTTTTCTTAATCTCAGCTCTTTTTATCTTTAAAGTATTCACAGAGTTGCTCTAAAGATAAGAACTAAAATACTTAGCAGCAAGTCATAACTACTTTTATAAGCAGAAAAGACTTCACGAATGAGACACCATTTGAGTTCATCCTTAAACGATGTTAGAAGCCAGATAAATATAAAGAAGTGGGGAATGTTTCCACATGAATCACATCATGAAGACTCAGAGGCCACACTGCTTACCTTGTTCAAAATGTAGTCTCAAAGTTGTACCTTAGCTGGGTTTAAAATCCTCAAAATTTATTTTCCCCCAAATGAAGCATCACTTGAAATCTATCAACCAAGTACAATATAAGA